TCCCTTTTTAAAAAAATATTTTTAATAGACTGAAATGAATAGCTAACCTTTAGAAAAGCATTTTAGAATGAGATTTACATAATATATTACAGCCAAGCATATGGCTGCCTAGAGCATTAAGATCTCTCCATCACCTGCTTTTCTAATTAAGTTATAACTCAGAGGCGAAGGACCAAACGTGTCCCATTATTTCTGTAGACAAAGACTACAACAGAGAGAATTGAGAAGAAGCCCCTCTGACTCCTAATTCAGCTGTCAAACTAACTAGTAAAGTCACTGAGAAAAGTCAGTGTGCTCTGCAAAGGAATAAAAATGTTGTTCCAGAGCCAGAACAAAGGCAACGAATAAGAATTTTGGTTCCTTACGAAAGGAGCCAAAGGCTCCTCCTTTGGCATTCATCTTCTTTCCTTATTCTCTGAAAGTTAAAAATCTAGCCTAAGCAAATTGTTCATGAGCTTTACAGCCAGCCTTCCTTGTCCTCTGTGTTGCATACAAATGGTTCTAGTCAGACACATCTTGGTACTTCTGCGTAGTTGGATGTGACAGAGTAAAACCCTTAGAGACCCAGTAAAATAAATTCAGCTTCCCCTTCCAGAAGCCTGAATTTTTCTATATGAATTCACTATGGAGTCAGGAAAATAAATTGGAGAGGCATCCTTATGAAGTATCTCGTTCTCCCTTGCTTTAGTCTTTGTGACCAGATAGTGACTAACTTTCACCTGGCTGGTTGGGTGAGATGATCCCACTCCCCTTTGTCACTTTTCATGCTACTCTCTCATTCAATTTTTTGTTTTTCTGTAATAAAGAGACCGAAACACCAAAGCCAGCCCTCAAACATCAGCCAACAATCCTCAGTGTTACATCTCCACAGTTCTACAATGCTCCCAGAAAACTAAATACAAAAACTTCATTTTCAATCACTATATTAACAGATGAATAATTATTCAATATTCAATATTCAATTAATAACTGCTTATTTAATAATTTGAAAAAAAAATAACCAACAAAGATTTTCATACATGTAACAACACATAAAAAACACTTGAAATCAATGCTGTCTCTCCAATCTCATCAGCACACTGTTTCATTATATTTTGTGAAATATAACCTGCAAGATACTCTTCTGGGCTGCAATCTTTTTGACATTAAAAAAAAAGTAATAAAAGTAGAGTTGGATACTTCGTAAATAAAGAAACTCACCTACACTTACAGTGATTTAATCTAAGGGACAAAATAAAATCAGAGGGAAACCAAAGAGACGACAAGGAAGGGGACCAAAGCCTGCTCATATTAAAAAAAAAAAAAATCTTATTGATTTTGAAATGAACACTTTTATGGTCAATGTGAACTTGAGCTAGTCTTTGTTTTAACTGACTGAATCAGGATTTTTCTAGTGGCTTCCCTAGCATATGCTATCAGGAAAATGCAGCGTTTTCTCTTTACCTTCTAGTACTTACAGAAGGGCACTTACTTATACTACACCGTGTAGATACTGAAGTCATGTCATGAACAAAAATGCCAAGATTTTAGCCTCCACACAATATTGGAAATCTGAACATGAATGTGCTCAAATCATTTTATATTTTCCCACCACAAAAACTTTGCATCTTGATGAATGAACTTATTAACACATCTGTCTCTTACAAGGGATCAAGAGGAAGGCAAAATAACCTTTACAACAAATGTTTTTTTCCCCCACTTTGCACAAGGTGGAGAGATACTGGCTCAGAGAGCGTATGTAAGTGATTTCACAAAGCTGATGCAGTCTTTTAATCATTTTTCTGACCAGTTTGTCTCAGCAGTCCAACAGATGTCTCTGCCTTCCCATCACAGACCACAGCTGAAGAGGAATGTGTTGTCAGGTCAAAAACTGGCTTATTAGCTTAAACCACAGAAGAATACACTTTGGAACTGTGTCTACGTATGCATTTTTATCTCTCTCTTGCACTTGATAAAGGCCTTTTCCTTTTTTTATTTTGAGCAAGTGGGCAAGACATGACCCACTATATACTGTGTCTAAAATCGCTTTTGATTTATACAAGTTTCATATCCCTAAAATTAACTTATTAAGAGGCAGGTCAGGATTATATCTTGTGATGTGACACTTCTGGAATGCATTTTTCTTTATGAGTTTCATGTCACTGAGGAAAGAAAAGGTAAACCAAACCAAAAATCAACTACTCAGGTCAAGAAGAGATGATTTAAAGAATTTTTTTTGACAAATTATGGTGTTTATTATGGTATGGGGGAAAAAAAGCTCCTGAACTGATGAAGCTGAAGTGTTATTAGTTTCAAAGAAATAGCAAGTTAATTAAAAAAAAAAAGAAAAAAATACTGCATAAAAATGATAGAATACAGATTTTTGACAATCACTTGAAACAGTGTGTTGAAAAAACCCTGAAGTGTCTATTTCCATCTAGCAACACATCAGACAGTAAGTTTTTCATGGCACAAGTGAAATATTACTTTGGTATTCCGGAAAATTGTTTGAAATAACTGTCATCCAGAAAATTTGAGCTGTTAAAAAATATTCCATTTCCATGGACCTTAAAGCAATTGGACTGTTTGAATTCATGAATATACAACTGGAAACTATCCCAAAGCACACTTTTTATTATTTGTTTAAGCCTGTATTATATCATCCTATTATATTGTCTTGTCAACAGAGTCTAGTGCTAACTCCACCACCAGCCCTTTACTCTTCCTGCCAGATGGATTTGGCAATATCTGGAGAAGACAGTGGAAAACTAGTGCAATCTCTTAATTTCCCTCAATATATACCTCCACAATGTCCAGCAGAGATTATGTGAGGTTAATCACACCTCTGTTGCCAGTTATCAGAGAGACAGTTCCACTAGGAGACTGATCTCCAATTATTTTTTTAAGCAATTTTTTTAGTTCTACAGACAAGTCCACTTTGAGGCTTCCCCGGTGTTCAGGTCTGCTTAATACTGCCAGCGCAGAAAGTACAAATCTGGTGCTGCACCCAGTGTAATAGGTGCTGTTAACCAAATATAAGTACTGTGAGGAACAAGCTGTGTTTGGTTTTGTTTTGTTTTGTTTTGTTTTTTTTTTGTTGCCTTGCTGGTTCCCTCTGCATGAGATGGATGAAGAAAAGAGGGAAATGCCTTTCAGCCTGGGTTGAAAAAGTTCCGAGTTTTCAAAATCCTGTTTGCAATTTTACATAACCATCAGCAGAGGGCACCCAATCATTTCCCCACCAAACCCTGCTGTTCCTCTACACAGTGTTCTGCTGAGAAAATATCCTTGAAAACACTGTATTTTCTTTTCCTCCGTCAAAATTTAACAATGTTAGAAATTTTTCTAATAGCTTTAGCCCTAGGATGCATATACAATGGCAGGGAAGTGCCCTGAAGTCAGAATCTGGCAGATTAGGGGAAAAAATTAAAGATTTGTATACTGAGAGACAACACCGATATAAAAAAAAAAAAAAAAAAAAAAGAAAAAAAAGAATACACTTCATGTTTACTAAGCTAGATCCTTAACTTCTGTAAATTGGTATAGCTTTATTTACATGAAGGTGACGATTTAATATGCAGACTTTATGAAGGTGAAATGTCGAAATTTTTTTTAAAGAACTACACAAACTATCAAAAAAACTACTAATAAAACTTCAACATTTGTGGTGAATAGGGAACACTGCTACTCAGAAAGCTAGTTCTTGGGTGCAAATTAGAAAGTACAGTGTAATTAAAACATGGAAACAATGCATTAAATTTTTCAGGAAATTATTTTTCTACGTAAGAAAGATACTATTATTATTAGACTTGTAATAAATTCAAATTGTAGGTTAACTAAACATTGCTAGGACATACTGTGGCAAAACTGAAATAATAACACTGTAACAGAGCCTTCCATTTTAAAATTACCTGCCAATCAACCACCAGCACAGCTATGCAACAAACGAGAATTGCATGTTAAATGAAAAACCAGCTGAATGAATGAAGTAAAAACAGTACAGCACATGGAAAACCAAATTTATTCCTAACTCTTAGTATCTTGCTGAGGGACCTGTTGGGATACATGTACTTGCTAAATAAAGTACTGGTTATCACTCAGTTACATGATGGAAGAACATGCAGTGGCCATCTGAACATTCAGGTTCTCCTTCTTCCCTTTAAAGCAGAGAGAGACGACTTTCATACTTACATTTAGCAGCTGCTCAAAAGCATAGCTAAAGCCTTTTTTGTAATCCGTAATTCCTTTAGCAGAGATTTTATAGACAGCTTCTTTCAGCTTCTTCTTGTTCCTCACATTAGCTTGGACAAGATGATTAAAGCAACTGACGTTCTGAGCATTATTGTTAAACTGTAAAATACACAGAAATAGTATTAAAACCAGTGATGTACAATTAATTTACTTTTCTAGTTACTAAAGTAGCAAAGGCTAATGCTTTCTTGATCTATGAGATAAAGAATATCACACCTGGATTTTCATCACTACATGGAGAATGTCCAGCAGTGCCTGGACATTTCACAATTGGGCAATAAATATATCATAAAAAAGGTATTTGGTGCTTCACTCTTTGTTGCAATCCAAAAAACTCTACTATACTGGAAAAACTCACACAAATGTTGTTTCAAGCTCATATAATGAAACTGAACTGAGAAATGCAGGGTTAGGGAAGTAAAAAGCATGGGGAATACTTGTTTTATTTTTTATAGTCACTGAAAAATATTGGTTATATTATCAGGTGACTTTCATATTGCACGTATGAGTCTGCTGTTTTACAATGAAACTTGCAGATCATAATCAATTAGTACATATACCTTAGAGAAAACAAAATACACTCTTGGGACAAAGGAAGCACATTAAAGGATAGCTGTAAATAGAAGGATATTGTTAATAATAATACAAAGTTGTGTATTGAGAACACACGTATTTGTGCTCTCTTACCCACATATTTGTAAAGACTACTCCCTGAAAAATTCATTTATGTGAGATTCTGACATTATTTGAAAACATACATAGAAAACTGTCTCTGCAAAATGTTGCCTGCACAAGTAGAAGTCAGTATATGATCTCTGTAAAATCTGTCTCTCTATAAATATACATAGAAACATGAATAAGTATATATCCCAGTAGAGAGAGAGGGTTGCAGATTTACATCTCACTTTTCTGCTGCCTCTGTATATATCTAGCTAAAGTCGAAGATGAGACCTAAAAATTGCTGTAGCATGTACGATCCTAACTGTAGTCTTGAATTAAAGCACATATTACTGCACATAATCTGTGTTTAACTCGATTTGAATGAAAATATCCTTCTAAATACAACCCAGTAATTTTTATTTAAGACATTCTTGACCAATATTACTAAAACTATTGTCTTGGACAATTTTTAAAATGTTTTATCTATCCAGATTTCTTGTGTGAGCTTTTTTTCTCACTGTCAAATAAGATGTCCAAAAATATCTGTAAAACTCCATCTCAGGAAAGCATGAAAATTCAGACATCCTAATTTACGTTTCAGCTGAAAATAGATTATTATGCCTCTTCCTGATTAAGGGTCTTCAGTGAAAGTAAATATAAATGTAATTGTATGCTCTCAACCTGGTGCAAAGCCTTAAAATAATTTAAAAAATCAAGCTCAAGTCTCAATACTGCTAATTAGGTCAATAGTACTGTATAGAATATGAAGTAAATAAGGTCACAGATTTCAATAACTGCTCAGACAAATAACCGGGGCTGTGCTCCCTCCCAGCTTCTCCTGCACCTGCAGACACTGGCACAGCAGAGATGCTGAAAATTCCTTGAGTGTCCCCAAAGCAACTATAACCATCAGTATGTGATCAGCATTCTCCTCAGCACCAATCCAAAACACTAGCTCCTATGAAGAAAATTAACTCTGTCCCAGACAAAACCAGGATGTGGCTCCATCTGTAACTTCTCATTCTTGCAAAAAGGATGTGCCAAAGTGCTCCATGAACTACTTGAATCTGCCTGCCTCATCTTCTAATCATCATTGTACCACAAGCCACTCCTTTACAACAAAACCCCACTACTTGGATTTTGAGCATTAAATAGTTCACAACTGCCCTAATGCCTTCTCATCTTCATTTGGTATTTATTTTTCCAGAGAGCTTAATTTTCTCATTTCTCATGACTTAATATTGTCTTTTAGTGAAGTACTGATACTGTCTCATGGTATAGCTGCTATTCCTGATGACTGTATTTGCTACAAAACTATACTGATTCTTGCTAGGCAGGGATATATGCCATGACAATACCCATACACAAATCTTGACACATCTTTTTCATTATTAAGGACAGTTATTATTCTGTCCCAATTTTATAGCTCTGCTCCCCAGGTGATTAAAATCTGTGGGAGCAAGTTATTCTCAAATGACTTTCTACAAAGTTTTCCGTCCCCTTTTAAATCATATGCAGTTCCCAATGTGTCACAAGGCAACAACTGTTTCCAAAAACATGCAAAAGCATGAACAAGTACTTTAACTTTGAAAAATGCAATGTTGTATTTGATCAGGCATTCTACAAAAGAGTTAGATGTATATAATAATAATAATATGACAAAGGTTGCTTAATTATTTTTGTAATATTTATCAGGAATTTAATTTTCATAATACCAGAACTATAAATATAGTATTAGATTTTAAATTATTTGCCGTAACAAAAGTATGAAAACAGGATGAGATAATGAAGAAAAAAAATTACTTTCAAATTCTCCCAGAGTCACTATGCAAACTTCACCTTTAAAATAAATAAACACATGAAACTGGATTACATATAGCCAAATATTCATCTTGACTATTCCTTTAATGTATGCAATATTTCCCAAAAATGAATAATTTCAGTAGGACAAACTCTCTGCTGTGATTAAAATGTAAGACTCCCAACTGAACCCTAACATTTCCATTGTGTGCTTTAAAAGCCATTATCTTTCATAAAATTCTTTCCCCAGACTCAAACAAATTAGGGTCATTCATTTTTCTATTTCCCCTCAATATCGTGTGGTTGATTTTTTATTTGCTGTGCTTATTCAGCATGTTTTGCTGCTTAAGCAAAACCGCAAAATGATCACACCACTGTAATCAATTCACTTTGGTGCAGAACACTGACACACTCAATGGTGTTTCTTACAGAAGTTTCTTAGAGAAGTAACCAATAAATCACCTGATTATTATTAAGGATCTCAACCACATGGGAGTGAAAACAGCATCATACTGAGGAATTATTCCATTTTTCCTTGACTTAATTTTGTAGCCATCGTCGGAAAATTACTGATGTAAAGTAATTTTAAAAAGACAGGGGCTGAAAATTCATTCTGATTGTGAGATGGGATGAGAGTATACATCTTGTACTTGGAAAGTAAAAGAAAAACATCTGGTAGGTAGCTCTGCTCTACAAAAGCCAATTTCATGTGAAAAAGTAGAGTGAAAACACTACTCCACTTCATCAGTGACATTATATCCCAATTACTTAGTGAGATAACATTAAAAGTAACCATAAATTCAATCCTATGGTCAGTGCATGCCTTGTCTTGGGCTATAGTAAACAGTGGCTAGGTGTTCAAGTGAAAATCTAGTGACAAATGAAAATTTCACCGTGAAATGCCATTAACATTAAACTGCAAATCTAAATTGCTTGCTAGCAGTCCTGCAAATATATCAGGATATTTATATGAAGTTTGGTTATGTAGCATATGGATTGGTTGACAGGAATACTGGCTCAAACTGTTTAAGAAGATAAGAAGTAAACTGTACTGTACTACACTTACACAAGATGTAAACTGAACAAAGGGCCAAGGTCAAAATATCTGCATCTATAGATTGACTAATGCTGATGTAAAAACATGGAAGGAAACAGGACATTTGTAGGATGGAGAGTTACATCAACTAATGTCTGCAAATGCTGTAATTTAATTAAGGTAATGCATGAGCCAGTTGCTCTCAAATACATCAGCCAACATTAATGTTAACATCAGTCAACAAAGCAGATGAGAAGAGTTTTTGATTAGATAAAAATAAAATGCACTAAAATAATTTTGCTCTTTAACCAGTTGACCATGTGACAAATATCAGGACCATAATTCTGAATTAGTGAAACTGAGCCAGCTTTCAGTTACACTCATCTGAAATGTAACAGCAACAGTGGTATTATAATTTTTCACACATTAAGCTACAAAAAGCCAAAATACCTGTGATAAGCCTTTAACAATTACTGGTTACATTACCTGTCTCCTAAGTACCACAATAATGCTTATTTAAATGTGGATGATTTCTTGCAAATCAGTTAACAATATACTCAATCACTTAGTATCTAACTGGAAGAAAGAACATGGAAGACTTAAAAAAAACAAAACAAAACAAAACAAAAAAACCCAAACAAAACACAAACAGTTGCCACTTCAGAAAGTCCACGTTCTTACAAAATCAAATCCTATCAAAGGTGTAAAATTAAAGTAATTACAATCCATACTTTATTGAATAAAATACTTGCAATGCGCTTATATGAAATATGTCAGTTGGGTGTTTATCAGACTGGCATTTTTCCCTAATTACTGCAGTAAAGATAAACATATGTCACAAAAACCCTATTGTGGTAAAAAGAAAATAAATTGAATTTTGTCCAGTGCTGTGGGCTCAGTGAGTCACTTAAAAAACAACAGGTGACATTTGGAGGTAAACCATTCAATTGTTAAAGTCCAGAGCCACCCTATACAGTACATCACTACCAATGACACCTTCTACTTTTTCAATTATATGAAAAACTTATTCCTGATGTAAGCTAAAAGAAGAAGGGCTTGCAGTAAAACACTTGGAAATCATGGAAAACAGCATAACCTTAGCTTTTTATTTTAAAGTGTCATGAAGTATTAATAGAATTAAATTTGTCTTGTAATTATATAGCAAGGTATAGGATCTAGATGTATTTTTCACTAGATTATTTCTCACTACCCAATTTATTTATGTCCTTTTGCAGCCTCTGCCTTTGGGATCTCCCAGAATGATCCTCAGGTCTGAGGAAATTAAGACCTCCTATTCAGGGGTTCGGGCAGGAATACCCCAGCCTGGTACTGGGGCACTAAGAGTGTTAGACAACTCCACTTAGTTGACCTCAAACTACCAGTATAATCTTTGGCCATATATGGGGCAACTGAATAACTTGAAAGATAAGTTAATCGATTCAGCTTCACATGAAACTCTGAACAAAGGGTTTTGATTTTAATGCTGCTTGAACCTTGTCATTCTGGAGAAGATCAGAAACAGAAATACTAATCTGACAGTCCTACAAGGACTTTGTCTTTATCCTCCTATTCAAAGAAGGATCAACTTGAAAAAAACAGTGGA